TTCACTAGTAAAGAATGTCTGCCTTGAGCCATGTGCTCTTTTAAGATCTATATGGGATCAAATTGACAACAGCAACTCAATAGATTAGATAGGAACCTTGGGGGGCAGTGAGTTTATGTTAATGGGGGAGGAACAATTTGGAAAAGAAGGATGAGAACTGTTGCACAACTTGAAGAATGTAATGTCACTGAATTGTCCATATAGAAACTGTTCGTTTATGTGTTGCTGTATGTATTCTCAACAACAAAAAATAAAATTAATTACAAAATTGCTGTTTTATTATCTTTATTTGCTACCAATATGTTTTATTGTAAGAAGTTGTACAAAAGGTATGATAAATATACAAATCATTTTCTCTATTTACTTCAATTTAGCCCGTGCATATGTGAAAACAATTGACAGTGACATTTCAACACCAATTTAAAAAAAAAAAAATTCCATTATCTGACAATAAATACCTAAATTTGCATTCTAGCACCCAGTAAGACATCCAGTTTCCAAAGGATTATTTATCTGTAACCCTCTGAATTTTCTGACATGTTACCATTGCCATTGAACAGAGTCACCACTGTCATTCTCCCTCTCCAAATAAGTCATACAGTAAGGCCCACGCTAAAATGGCTACATTTGACCTCAGAAACTCTGGGTCATAAAGCATCCCTTATTTGAGCTACATTTTTAAACACAGATTTCTAGTGATGGGGTATTTAATATAAGTTTTCGTGGTCTTTGGATTACATATTTTACATGACATAAACACTTTTCTATTCTTCTCTTAAGGCATGAAGGTTCTAGATAAATTGACTTGTATTTCCACCTTCCTCAAGGTCCCTGGGTGATGCAAATGGTTAACATGCTGGGCTGCTAACCGAAAGGTTGGAGGTTCAAGTCCACCCAGAGGTTAGTCAAAGACGACTTGATGGCAATTGGTTTTCAAGTGGAGGAAGGAAGAGCATTCAGCTCAAGAGGCTATGAGGAGGGTAATCTTAGAAATACATACGTATATGTCTTAGGAGGGCTTTCTGTATGGAATGGAGGAATGGTCGATAGAGTGAGATGTTCCTGTCTATATCCGAGGCCATTTTTCTGTGAGGGCTAAACAATTCAAATACATAGGAAGGTCCCTGCTTTCAGACAGCTGGGCTGCACCCACACTTCGGGAGAGCACAGGGTTTATATGCCCTGTGAGGAAGGATTCCCAGGTGGACCTGACAGGCCAGTGTGGTCATTCTCAATCATGTGTACAGAGAAAAAAGCAGAAGCAATATCTAACACCAAGTCACCTGCCAAAATTCTTGTAAGACTGTGTTACAAGCAGTGAACTTCCACACTGCTTCTTTTACCTGCTGCACCCAAAGCACCAAAACAGAGCATTTTGTAGCAATATGAGCAAACGGAATGAGAGTAATTATGCACCTTTAAGGAACATGCACCCTTGTGAGTCTGTACCCTGATATTAACACAGCAGAATGAGTTTCAAGTATGAAGAAATACAGTAAAAGTATGGCCTGTGGGTGGGTAGAAAATAGCAGCCTGGAATGTGGTTTGTATTCTTGGTTAATTTTTCTCTTTGTACCACAGCCCAAACTGAATGCTCTGTAGAATGACTTGGTTTAAAAATCAAGATGCATACAAAGAATCTAGAGTGCACTTGTGTGTGGTGTCATGAGCACATTTGGTGCCCAGCATCAGGAACCTTCTCTTGATAACTGTGGCCAGCTGAGGTCAAGTGGGGATGGTGGCCAGGTCTAGGCAGGCATACCCATGGCATCCGTCTAAATATCTCTCATCACGTCTCAGACGACCAAAGAGTGGCAGACGTGGATGGGAGAGCACCATGTGCACAGGCCAGGATGGTGGCAAGGAACACTTTGGTGGGAGGGAGACGGAGATGCAGGGAAGAGGCGGGGGTTGGTCACCCTGGGCCGGCTCACAGACTAGATTAACACCTGACATGCATAACCTCTACATAGAAACATAGAATCCAACAGGTCAAATGTCCAAATAAAGTTTTTTTTTAACTTTTAAAACATTTTATAAGTTTCAAAAAAGTTTACTGTGTGGGATAGCCTTGCTGAAACATTGAAGAAAGCTTTCACTAGACTCTATGGGAATGCAGAAACACTAATGCATTTTACAGTGAAAACGTGCTTTTACACATCTCAGAAATGATAATCCTAGAAGACTCTCTAGTTCTAATCTGCACCTATGGGAACTGATATTGTGCTTTTCTTAACACATACTGTTCTTCTATTCCAAACACTTGCCCTTTAACCTTCAGATCAAAATCTAAAATACCAGAAATGCAACAAGCTTTTGAGGTGTTGAGGATTGTCAGCTGTTAAAAATCCCATTGTCGACTACTGTATATGCAATCCTTGTTTATTACCAGACTGGACTGCTTCTGTACAAACTCAAGTTGCCTGAAGCATGGAAAATTGGACTCCTCCGTCTGACACGTTCTGGAAGCCTCGATGCACAAGCTGACACAGTTCTGCTGCTATAGAAAACTCTCACACTGCTCTCCTTTCAACAGCACTACCTGTTCCTGCTACTGCACAGGACACCTCCAAGGGCACTTGACCTTGTGGGGGAAGCTTCTAAGGCCAGACAAGAGAAGGCACCACCCATCACCTACCTCTGACTGGCAGCTACTCCGATGGCCACCTAGCAGAGTTCCTAACTTAAAGCAGTATCTGAAATGCTTCTCTAACTTTATTTTTATTTTACTATATTATCACACTATAGTATATGCTTATTTGACAAAAACAGTAACTATGAAGTCCTTTGCTTTAATTCATTTATATAAGAATAAAACACCTAGACACCAAAAATTCTATATCTATAGACTTAAAATTCTACTAACCATGTTAAAATGCATGCAGCTTATTTGGGGGCTTAGTCTAATTTTTATTTTCTTAGCTCGTCAAGACCATGGTAATGAACATTAAATGCAAGTCCTATCGCTTTCTGCCTTAGTTGCACTTTCACAGGGCTAGTGTGACTCAGAAATAAATAATATACATGAATAATAATAGAAATAATTTACCTAGATGTAGAACCTGAAATAAAAATTCCCCATTTACTTAAGCGCTGATCCTAGGGGTAGTTGATGCTATTAATTGCATGTACTAAAATATTTATTACTGATCATAGAAAAATAAATGAATACCAAGTAAGTGAGGAACTCTAATATATAGGTGTACATGGTTGCAAACACAGGACCAGAATGAAAAGATAGTATAATGCACTTGGGGATTCAAGGAATGTATTACTGCTAGAATACTTTCATTATTCAGAGACTTCAAGGTCAAATTCAGAGTTGCTGGTGATCAGAGAAATATTGCTAACAAATACATATTATTGCATTTCATAAACGTTAAGATGAAAAATTCTCAAGTAAAGGTACAAAGGGTATCTTCAGAATTTTAACCTAAGCACATCAATGGAATTTGGCTAGAAACCACAGAGAGTTAGAATTAAATAATTGTGTGGTTCTATGCTTGCTGATTAGTGCTACAGTCATAGTTCTTGGAAATCTATATATACAGACATGTGCCCCCTTAAAAAAGACTCCTCTCAAAAGGAAAATCCCTTAGTATGGGATCATTTGTTTACACATCTTTAATTATTTGACAAAGAAAAAGAAGAACTTTGAAACTAAATAGTTAGGAGCTTTTGCCAACTGAAGATGAAGCAAAAAATAAACACTTTTTCAAAACAAAACTTTTCCAGGCATATCTTCTGCCATCACATATGTAGCATGGAAGAAAATAAAAAAATAAAAACATCTTTCCTGTAATTATACATCTTCTCTAAAAAAAACAAAAACAAAAAACTGAGCTTAGAACTTGAGAGATGCTTGGCAGGCAGCCCCACAGACAGCAGCCTCTACATCTCCTCATACCCGAACTTTCGGAGAATTGTGTTGTACTTCTTTATGCACAGAAGACACCCGTTTGAGTCTCGGGACATTTTGCTTCCTAAGAGTGCAGAGCGGATGCCTCTGAGACAGCAGCAGGGCACATTTTAGACCTCGGACAGTATCCTGCGGGTCTGCACACGGTTTAGGGCACCGACAGGTGAGCGGGCGGCGGGTCTCAGTCAGCTCCGCCCACGGCACAGGGGCGGGGTGACGACGCACAGCACCCGAAGGCTTTCAGTGTTGAACACGAGCGAGTAAGAGTTCAAACTGGCCCACGGATAACTAACTCGAGGTCGGAATTCGGCCTTCCCTTTAGGGGCTTTAGCTGAAATTTACTTGGGTGGGATTTTGAGCGGAGGGATGAGGCCGATGATTTTACAAAGAGCTTTCTTTCCATAGCCCCTCGTGTGCGTGGTATCTTGATTCAGTATGAATTACTGAGACTCGCCTGCCTGCTACTCTGGAGGAAAGTCAAGCAGACACTATTGAGTTTCTGCCGCTCAGAAGGAACTAACTGCCTTCTGTCGTGCTGTGCTAAGGAAACTCTGAAATCTATAATTTCCCTCCCCCTAAATTTCAGTGACCACTGTTGAGGAAGGTAACTTCTAATTATTAATTTAAATAATCTGGCGGATAATGGGCCTCTGAGCTGACCTGTTTAAAAAAAAACAAAACACATACATATATATATATATTTGAAACTATAAAATTGCCAACAAAAATCTAAAAGTGGAGATATTAAAACTTATGTAAGAGACACTCCTTATTATGCCCATATACTTAAAATTAAAAAAATAATTTATTGTAAATTTACATTTGATTATGCAATCTAAAAATTATTATTTTTAAGGATTTTAGGGTAGCAGTTCTTTAGAAAAAGGAGTTTTATCTACTTGATTAGTAATCTGCTACTTAGTTTGCTCATTGCATTTTTTAGTTGGATTTTAAAGTTTAATCACTGTATAAAGGCTACCACGGTAGGGAACGTGAAAGCAACAGATTAGGGTATTGGTGTTCTGAGGGGGCCACTGTGGGAGTTTTATACTCCTAACAAAACTATCCTTTTCACAAATGAGGGTTGCCTTTTTTTTTTTTTAAGCAATAAGGCTTGTTCGTCTTTGTAACTTCGGCACTTAGAAAAGTGCCAGGTAGGTAATTAGTTACCTTAAAAAATATTTCTTGAAGAAATGAATGGCTAGGCTTTCTGTAGTCACGTAAATGATCAAAATGGGTGTATTATCCTTCATCAAGCACAATTTATTTGCAAATAATTGTTCAGAACCTAGCTAATGGCTAAAAATTCTAAGTTATAGAACATTGTGGAGACTATCAGTCATACTGAAAAACAAGTGCTAGGCAAGAGTTAAACGTGCAGAAAAATAAACTTAGAATAAAGTCTTTAGAAAAAAGTCTTTAGCCTTGGTCAGCCAGATTTTTTTCCCTACAAGTGCCACCTTGTGGAATACACTGGAATAAAACAAGAAAGCCCATCCCTAAAGTCAGCGTGAATTTAAAGCCGAGGATTTTTTTTTTTTTTTAAGGAGAAAAGCCACCTCCCTTTCCTATCACATTAACTTCAAATCACTGTAATAGTACTTCTGTAGTTGCTTGGGAAAAAAAAAAAAGCCCGTATTCATTCTCAGGTGGCTGTTTTCTCCCTGAAGGGCAGAACATCAGTATTAAGGAAACATAAACATGTTGATAGAAGTTCATTCATTTATCTGAATTAACTTCCTGGGAATGCTAATAAAAAGAAAACATTTTGAAAAGCCGATTGATACTTTGTTTAAAAATTGAGAAAAAAAAATTTAAAAATCAGCCCCTTTCTATTTCTACATTTCTGTTGTTTGCAAAGGGCAGAAGATGGAGAAGGCCAAAGGAGTATTTTTGATTTATTTTCTGAAAAAATACAAGTTAGAAATGCTTGAGATATACGTACGTACCAAATGGCCAACAAAACTGGGTTGAGAACTGCACTGATATAAAAAAGGGAGCCAGTAAGAAACGAAAATGCTATTCTCTCATGCTTTTCAGTAAAACACCCTTACTAATTATCTAAGGCCTTCAATTGCTTAACAAGTTTTTGGTAGCCTCAAGGAGTTTTTCCACTGTGGAGAAGAAACCTGTAAATATTTTGCTAATTATATACCTGAATAAATTTAATGTACATGGTAAGTGGTTCTGAGCGAAGTTCACAATTTTTCAAAAATCCTGGTGGCACAGGAAGCATATGCCTTTTAAAAATCTGTTTTATTTTTTAAAAATTACAATTTTTTTTTTAAAAATATTCTTAGGGATGTGTAACAAATATAGCCTCATGAAGATCCCCATGAAGGGAGGGAATATGGTTTAGTTTGCTCAGCTCAACCTATAAAATGGTAACTGTGCTTGGAATAGCTTCTCCATAAAACTTGTCTTTGAATGTATCAAGTCCAGTTACCAGGTAATTTTAATATAAATTCTTGTATTTGTTAACAACAAATATCCTTCAACATTAACTTTGAAATTATCCTTCTTTGAATACCTTCGTTTTCTCCAGAATTTCCTCTATCCATTGCCCACTGTTTTATGAATAATTTTTAAAGATTTAGAAATCATATAACATCTTTATTTTTCTCTTACAGTGTAACACATGCATTCTTTTGCATTCTATCAATATCTAAGTATTTATAATAATATTTTAATATTTTCTTTCCAAGATAAATATTCTGTAGTTTTTGTATTAACACAATTATGTAATTATGGTGGCATATTAACTTTTAACATTATTCTTTTCTATACCCAACTATGCAACAAAAGCCTGCTTTTGAAAACTGTGAGACCCTCTCATATGCTTACCATAAAAATAGTCAAGTTGTCACTTAATAAAAAGGCAGCAATTCTTTGGATAGATGAATTTTAATGTATTTATGATGTTAGGAAGCTTACATGATTTAACTTCCTTAATGGAACAAGAATTGCTATTACTGAGTTTAACAGGCACCACTTTTAAGAGAACCAGCTATAGTTACTTAAAAAGTCAATCCAAATACATAATTTGAGGTTCAAAATGTTAGGTACTATTTAAGAGTTTTCTCTCCAAGACAGTACCACATTCTGGAGTCAAACTATAGAACTATGTTCATTTCTACTTTTTCTTTAAGATATTAACCGTCTGTGCAATTTTCTTTTCTTCTTAAAAATAAAATTCTGAGATCCTATTCTTAGATGAATAATTTTCAACAATTCCAGTAAGTCATCTAGGGCTAAATGAGAAGTTGGCTATTCACGATGTGTGCTTCCCAAGAGAAAATCATGAGAACAGCTGAAATGCCTGGAGCTTTCTTTCAGGACGAGTGCATTGCACCTTGAGTTCCCATCCACTTCAAAGGAGGGACAGAGTGGGAGGCTCCAAACCACTGGGTTCTTAACAAGCCTTTTGTCAATTGTGTTTTTAAGGTTAGGCCTTTATCGCTCTTTGTCATGTGATAGCTTATGATGGCTAAATGGACAGGTTTCCTTTTTTTAAAATCATGGTTCGCTACTCTCCACCCTGCACAAGAGCTCCCAAAATGAGAGGGCCACCAGAACCAAACATCATACAGAAACTATCAGGCACATTCTTGCTCTAGTCCTACTAAGAAATTAAAACGTGTTTCCAAATCTGTCACCATATTTTTACTTTCTATAAGCTGCTTCAGTGTAACTCTGGGGCAGTATGACCTTTTCAGCAAACCACTGCCTAACTTTTGGCAAAGATGTTTGAAACCATATGTCACAGAAGAATAAGCTGTATTCAGCAAGCTCTTTTTCTGCTGTTATGCTTCAAAATGCCCTGATGGCAAGGCTGCTTGTGTGGGACCTGGGTTTCAGGAATGGTGAGCATGACATACAAGACGTAAAAGGAGAGTAATCACTCGACTGCAACAGCCACCCTGAGGGTGAGCTGGGGACACACTCTTAATGAAGTTCAGGAAGGCCGAGATTCCCTCTCATGCTCTTGGCAAAATTGGATAATTCTCCAAGCATCTCATGACAAAATGTTTGTACTTAATTTTTCTTTACAAATGCTACTGAGAAATAAGCCAAAAGCATATGCTAGAAATAAAAGTTGAGCTCTCTACTTAAAATCCTAAAGAATGCTGAAAAAAATTCCAGTTCAGAACAGCTGCATTTTTCTTGAGCTAACTTATGATAAACTTTTGCAAAAGCAAAAACTAAAGTTATGTTCATTCACTCTAGCCATGGAGACTGACCAAAAACAGCTCATGAGGAGATCAGTGCAGTGAGTTTTAAAATTGAATTTGCAAGCTCCAACAAAAATGTCTTTGTATTTTGATCCCCGATCAAAGGAAAGGCAGAACTCACCTTTCCAGGTGAGACTGAGAACAATTTGGGCTGAATGCTCGGAAGCCATTATATCTCAAGCATTTATAGTGACGACAGAACTCTTCAATGTTGTCCCATGAAGAAAGTATAAAACATCCTTATGGCCCATCTTCTCATTCTTATTTTGTGTTAGGAAAAATTTCCTTTTCTTCAAACTACTGAATTAGACCAATGTTAACAAAGCATATATTAAAAAAAAAAAAAAAAAGAATGGTTCTCAACCCAAAAAGCCATTGGGAGAAACGTCTCCTAATTTTTCTCTTGTTCAAGACAGTCATATGCAATATTAAGCTGTCAAGAATTTAGTAAGGCTTTACAATGAATAAATATTATCTGGAACATTTTCTCCTGAGTGAGGCAATGTCCATTCTTTGAAAGTCCTAACTCCGAACATGGTCTAACTGTTGCACACATTCAAAACATGACTTAGACAGCAAAAGTAGCTAGACTTCCCAAAAGATACTTCATTTCTGTGTTTTCTAGTTACTAAGGCCAACTGTTTGAGCACTAAACCACGTTTAAGGCGGAGATAGTATAGAATCTCTGTACTTCTAGTACCGTAGAAGGCAGGAAAACAGCAAGAGAAAAAGCAAAGCTGTTCTCAAAGGCAGGGGCGGACTGGCTCTGCAGAGAGCTGGGGTGTGCACAAGGCACTTAAAAGCAAGCAAAGCCTGGAGAATGGGGAAAGACCACTTTATAGAGTAAGTATAGATTTTTAAAAACATTGCCTTGGCTACTGCACTGGCAATACATTCTATAAAATGTAAAATGGTAAGTAACAGTTTAAAGCAGTCTGTGCTGGTGATTGAGCAGAACAAGTATTCTGCACATTTCCTAGGTAACAACAGTGAACACCATGTAGGAAGATCAAAATTAGAGTGAGAACATACGGACCTTGCTAGGACTGTGGAACTGCGGCCATGAGCCATAATCCGACTCTGCGTATTTATGAAAGGTTCATTGAAAGCAAGAAAGCAGGTGGTGCGTGGGAATAGCTTAAGCAATCTGTGATTAGTTATGTAATGGTGTCAACAGATATTAGAGGTGCTGGGGGATAGACAAGATGGATACTTTGCAAACAAGGCAGTGCATGATAGAAAGTACAGTGTAATGGGAGCGGGAAACCTAAATGGCATTCTTGTCTCTAGGCAGGGAGAACTACTCTCCAAACCAAAACAGGAAACAGTTTCAGACAAATCCCTAAAAACAAAAACAAAACAAAATGACAACAAAAAATAAAAAGGAACTAAAGAAATTTCAAACCAGGAAATAAAGGCTTTCTCTATTTTTTAAAATTTTTTTTTTCCTATTTGAGGTACACTCCCTAAATCTACAGCAAGTAATAAAAAGCTTACAAGGTATTTTCCAAAAGAAACAATGAAGTATAGTATTTTACAGAAGGTTAAAACTGACTTACAATGAGCAAATTCAGCTTTTTGAAGAGTAAGTAGAATGCGTGCTTTTAAAAACAAATCTCTTAAAAGATACTGGTTTTTTTTTTTTTCTTTCTTTTTGCTGTGTATATCAAACTTCAACTAGATAGTGAATCTTTTACTGCTAGCAAGTTTACGGCTTTTGGCCAGAAAAGAAATGCTGAGGACATAGGCTCAACTTTCTAATTTGAGAAACCCATTCTGATGAATCACCTTCAGTCAATATTATTTATCAGTCATCTTGAGTCTTTAAAATTCAATTATTCTATGTCGCTTACAAAAAGTAACACGAGATCACAGAATCTCTCTCTCACTCACACACACACACACACACACACACTCACTCAAAAGTACCAAACGAGGCCCCGGCAGCTGCAGAGAGATTACATCATAACTCAGCTGTGCCTGGATTGCCCATTTCACACTGGCAGCATTCAAGGTTAGAAAAATGAAACGGCAGCACAATTGGTCAGCAGCTTCTCTTCTTCTGGAATTTTTCCAGGTTCTTGAAATAGACAGACAGACACACAAACAAACAAACATAAAGCTGCAATCATTTTTGCATTGATTTCAAAACAGTAAACTAGGCGGTTTCCTTGGAAAAGCAGAGCCCATCCAGAAGATGGCGGCTGCAAGGCCTCCGGACGCTGATCCTCATCAGCTCTGTGGAGCCTTCCCGGGGCACCTGCCAGCCACCAAGGGCGTTGTGGGTACAATCAGCGCAAGGCAGCCGCTGGGGCCTCAGGCTGTATTCAGCTCCGAGGTGTTCTGGCCAGGCGGCAGATGGGAATCCAGGTTTTCCTTGCACCTCTCCAGGTCGCGGAAGTATGGGTGAGACAGGGCACTGTAGGCAGATATTCTTTTGGTGGGATTGAATGTCAAACACTTCTGCGATAAAGAAAAAGTAACTGATTGACAAAAATCATGCCAGTGTAAATAATGTGTATATACACTTATGCATCTATTCACTGCCATATATTGTGTGGTGCAAACGGGGTGCTCAGCTGCTAACAGCAAGGCTGGCGGTTAGAATCCACCCAGAAGCTCCTCAGAAGAAAGACCTGGTAATCTACTCCAGAAAAATTAGCCATTGAAAACCCTATGGAGTACAGTTCTACTGTGACACACATGGGGTCGCCAGGAGTTGGAATCAACTCAGAGGCAACAGGCTACTGCTATAATGAGAATGAATAGTTATTTTAAGGGACATGAAATAAATATGTAGACAGTACTCACCTTTTGTATGGCCCTAATGTATAAAGTACCCCTTGGAAAAAGCTGAAACCTTTTGGGTGGCCTGTGGACTATAACTTATCCAGGATTTCTCTCTAAGCCACTCTAGGTCCCTTAAAAGAGATTTTAATTATTATTATTACTTTTGTCATATGCATATAACTTCAATTACATACTGAATCTTCTAAATGCTAGTTAACTCAGTGCTATAGTCAGAGACTTCACCGTAACTTTTTACTCTGCCTCAAGGTTTATCAATGAGCAGGGGACAGAAGGGGGTGTCTTGTTTATGTGTAAGAAACAAGGGTGCGTGGGAGAGGGGGCAAGTAAGGGGTAAAACCTAGCACTGCAACTTAGTCGAGACATGGTGGATACTATGATAGATTGGATGATTTTTCAGCACATACTCCCTCTATCCTTCCCTCATTGAAATTGGCCTTTGCCATGTTAACTTGTTTTGGTCAATGGAGTGTGGTCAGAAGTGGCAGGGCGCCTGTTCTAAGAACACTGTTATGTTTCTGCTTGCCATTCTGGGAGTATCCACCTTCCACCATGAGAAGAACATGCCCCAGGGAGCCACTCCCCTCTGGGCTGGTCTCCAGAATGAGACACACAAGAAGACTCGTACTTGACCCTCAGCCTGAGCAGAGCTGCTCCAGACGACTCACAGGGCTATCTCTGCCAATCTGCAGACCCATGAGCAGGAAGTAGATGCCTACTGTTGCATGCCAGTGAGATTAGTCTGGGTTGTTTGTTACGCAGCAAAAGCTGACAAATATAAGGACCAAAGAATGTACCTCAGGCTCTGAAAGCAGTTAGATAGCAGGAGCAATAGGGTCATGTTTAGAATAATCACCCAGCCTTCTAAGTTAACCATGACAAAGAGGATACAACTCATTAAGCCGTGTAGGTTTTGGTTGATAAAAATGCTTCCAGTGGTTAAAATGGTGAATGTTATGTTCTATATACTTTACCACACACACACACACACACAAAGCTTCTCCCAAACTATACCCTGCTTATGTATGTACATAGGAATATTCAGAAATGTATATGTATATATCTATACACATATGACTGAGTCATTAAATAAAGTTAAGCATTTTTCAGATAAATGAGGAGTAACTCTTCAAGTGCTAAATTTTTAAATGTTAATTGTTTCTTAAAAAAAAAAACTTTCTAAAACGCCCTGTACTCTTTTTCTTTAGTAATTCATTTTCAAATAGAGGCAACAGGTACTACTGGAGTCTATAGCTGCTGACCTTGTACAACTCACTGAACAGCCTTCCTTCCTCTGCTTCACAGTTCTAGCTTGTGTCCTCTAGCACGAAATGGTGAGAGCCTCAGAGGCTTCTGAAGTTTGAGGTTGTGGACTGTCCTTTCCCTGAATGTCCCTAGATACTATCTTTTATGATTGAATTTCCCCTATTCCTGATGTCACTGGTTCTGCTTCTTATACCTCTCCCTTGCTTTTTCTAATCTCTGCTGCCACTGTCATTGTCCACACCCTTCCTTCTCTCTTTGGTAAGTGTTTGTTCCTTTTCTCCTCTTTGTTTTTCTCCTGCTACTTCTCCAGTCTGGCACTAGTGCCAACCCTCTTAGTGTAGGACCCCGAATGAGCAGAGCACATGGCAATGTCTGTCTGTTATCTTCACATCCTAAGTGCTTCTTGATGATTTCTACTGAGGTTGAAGCTGGGAGATGTTCTGGGTTGTCTTTGGATGTTCTGGTAGCTGAAGGAGTAGGCTACTTCACTAAAGATGTCCATTATGGTGACTGTCTGCCCAGAATCACCTTCTAAGAAGGGCATTTCACCCAAAGCTCCTGGAGAAAAGGAAAGCCTATGGTGGCGATGTTTTATGGCATGTGGTCCCACCCACTTACAGCAAAGCTGACTGGACCAGGAGTGTGACCTGACCCTAGGTAGCAACCCATGTCATGGTCTAGAAAAGAGCTGAAAATGTCAGCCAGCTTCCTCTTCTTGGAATTTTATGTAGGAAATACTGACAGGGAAAGCAGTGGGGGTTGGAGCTGAAAAGATCCATGAGATAGCTGAAGCTCTTATAGTCAAGGGCACCGGCTAAAGTTAAGGGGAGCAGACAGTATGACAGAAGAAGCAATGGGGTAGAGAAGAGGCATACAGAACAGAGAAAAGCAGAGATGCTAAGAGCAGGTGATGCATGGAACAGAGATAAAGAATTTACACTCTGGATGGCTTTCCATGTCCAGGCCACATGGAACACTCCATCAAACCCCTCCCTTTTTCTTTAACAGCTTAAAAACAACAAACATTTATTATCTCACAGTTTCTGAGTATCAAGAATTAGGGAGTAGCTTAGCTAGGTGGTTCTGGCCTCATAAAGTAATAAGCAAGATGTCAGGTGTGGCTGCAGTCATCTGAAGATTTGACTGGGACTGGAGGATCTGCTTCCAAGATGGCTCACTCACATGGCTGTTGGCAGGAGGCCTCAGTTCCTCACCATGTGGGCCTCACACACCCATTTTACAATGGTAGGACAGGCATAATAAGAGGTATAAAGATTCCTGTTCAAAAAAGGGGGAAATGAGAGGCACAAAGGGGGGGAAGAAAAAATAAACTGTTGCCATAGAGTCAATTCTCACTCATAGCGGCCCTATAGGGCAAAGTGTAGAAATGCTCCATAGGGTTTCCAAGACTGTAAATCTTTACGGAAGCACATCTTTCTCCTGCAGAGTGGCTGGTGGGTTCGAACCACCGACCAAACTCTCTTTTCTTAAGGTAACACAAGTGCGTGTCTGTTATGTGAAACCAAAGAAAAAATCTACCTAAATAGCAGGTGAACCAGTGAGTGTGTATATATGTGTGAGCTTTCATCTAGGCAAATATTCTCCTTTCTAATTAATTTATTTCAAGGGATGTGGGCCAAGGTCCTTATTGAAGGAAAAGCCAACAGTGGGGAGGGAATATGGCTATCCTTATCCATAACTTGGCAGTGGAGGGAATCTTTGCCTAAGCATCAGAAAATGAGCCACCACCAGGTGATGATGGGGTTAGAACTGTCGCTGGGAAAATCCATGGCTGTGCAAACATGCACATGCCAATCAATGGCTGTTTCCACAAAGAGCTGAAGCATACCATTTCTACTGAGGCCTAGAGACTCTTAGGTCTATATATGAAATTCAGAATACACTGACAGAATGGAAGCACTGCCTCCTCTGAGCCTATGAGCACTTTCCTGGATAGATATCAAAGGTTGTTAATTGAGTAGATGTCATGGATTGAATTGTGTCCCCCAAAAATATGTGTATCAATTTGGTTAGGCCATGATTCCCAGTACTGTGTGATTGTTCACCATTTTGTCATCTGTTACGATTTTCCTATGTCTTGTAATCCTATCTCTATGATGTTGATGAGATGGGATTAGCAGCAGTTATGTTAATGAGGCAGGACTCAGGCTACAAGATTGGATTGTGTCTTGAGCCAATCTCTTTTGAGATAAAAGAGAGAAGTGAGCAGAGAGACATGGGACCTCATACCACCAAGAAAGAAGTACTGGAAGCATAGTGCATCCTTTGGACCTGGGATCCCTGTGCTGAGAAGCTCCTGAACCAGTGAAGATTGATGACAAGGACCTTCCTCTAGAGCGACAGAGACAGAAAGCCTTGCCCTGGAGCTGGCGCCCTGAATTCGGACTTCTAGCATACTAGACTGTGAGAGAATAAACTTCTGTTTGTTAAAGCCAGCCACTTCTGGCATTTCTGTTATACAAGCACCAGATAACTAAGACAGTAGGTGTGATGGTTAAGATTGTGTCCACTTGGCTAGGCCATGGTTCTCAGTGTTCATATGTGATCACTCCCATGATGGAATTTGCTGTAAGTAGCCAATCAGTTGAAAGGGAGTTTCCTTGGGGTGTGTGGCCTGTATCTGAATATAAGCAGACTTTCTGGCTTTTTGCTCGCTCTGGATCCTGCAGCTGCCTCCTGTTCGTCTGACCTCCGGTTCTTGGGACTTGAGCTATCAGCTTATCTGCCAGTCTTGGGATTTGCTGACTTTCAGAGCCTGTGAGCAGAAGCCCTGCTCTCCGACCTGCCAATCTTGGGTTTGCCAGCCCTTGCAGCTACGTGAATCAGGAGAAGCCTTGTGGTCTTGTCTACCAATCTTGGGATTTGTCAGTCTTCAGAGCCTGTGAACAAGAGCCCTGCCCTCTGACCTTCCGATGTTGGGTTCACCAGCCCCTGCAGCTATGTGAATCGGGAGAAGCCTCCATCCTGATCCACGGACTTGGGACGTTCCAGCCTCCACAATCGCGTGAGCCATTTCCTTGATATAAATCTCCTTATATATATATACATTTATATGCTTTACTGGTTTTGCTTCTCTAGAGAACCCAGCCTAAGACAGTAGGTAAAAGATAACTACATATTACTCAGTTGTTGTTGTTAGATGCCGTTCAGTCAATTCCAACTCATAGTGACCCTATGTACAACAGAACGAAACACTGCCTAGTCCTGTGCCATCCTCACGATCATTGCTATGTTTAAGCCCATTGTTGCAGCCACTGTGTCAATCCAGTAGAGTCTCAGATACCAAGAGCAGTCCATGAGGGGTCTCCAAGTACAGAGAGTTATGTATGTACAAGGCCAAGGATTGTGAGTTTGAGTCTCAGAGCATAAACCAGTTGCTGCTGAGTTGATTCTGACTTACGGTGACCCCACGTGTGTCAGAGTAGAACTGTGCTCTATAGGTTTTTCAATGGCTGATTTTTCAGAAGTAGATTGCTAGGCCTTTCTTACCTGGTGCCTGAGTGGACTTAAACCTCCAATCTTTTGGTTAGCAGCTGAATGTGTGTTAACTGTTTGTACCACTCAGGGACTCCAAACAGGGCACACCAAACCCACTGCCACTGAGTCGATTCCAACTCATAGTCACCCTATGGGACAGAGCAGAACTGCCCCATAGGGTTTCCAAGGCTGTGAATTTTTACGAAAGCAGACTGCCATATCTTTCGCCAGTAGAGCAGCTGGTGGGTTCGAACTGCTGACCTTTTTGGCTAGCAGCCAAATGTTGAACCACTACACAACCAGGGCTCCTTGAAACAGGGCATCTCATAAAACCCATTGCCATCAAGTTGATTCCGACTCATACTGACCTATACGACGGAGTAGAACTGCCCTATAGGGTTTCCAAGGAGCAGCTGGTGGATTCGAACTGCCAGCCTTTTAGTTAGCAGCCAAGCTCTTAACCACTATGCCACAGGGCTCCAAAACAGGGTATTTTCAGTGAGGTATTTTAAATGTGCACAGCACATTAAGTAGTTACTAATTAAATGGGTAACTAGAAGGAGTATTGCTAAATACCATTCCTTTGGAAAAACATCTCCCTGTAGATGTGCCTATTTAAGAAAAGGCATATTAAAATAACAAGCTGCTTAAAGTAGCATGAAACTATAAACAAAGAAATATCTGGTTCTAAAGAAGCATGTGTCCAAATTGAGAGGCTTCTAAGATTATATTCAAATGAATGAAAAAGACAATGGATTTAGAGTGTGGATCAGATTTTTTTTCTTTCCATAAGAACTGAAGACATTCCAGAATCAAAAGCCACCAGCTACTACAGGTGTGGAAATGAAACCTGACAAGAGACTATGGCCTCCCGCCCTGTGTGGTTGGGACATGTGCTGCTGGTAGCAGTTGCTGAACTGACACTTGTGCCCACCACCCAGATTGGATAAGGCAGGTCTTTCATCAGTACGGTGCAGATCAACTATGCATTCCATGAACTTACCAGAAGTAGGTCTTTGCCTAGTTCATCAATATCTGTTACAAACTTCTCAATTGGTTGGGGAGATTTCGAATGGAAAGCCTGCCTGGGAAGGGCAACATCTCTAGGCCAGTCTTCTTCTCCTGGGAGTCCAATTACACTACAGAAGAAGCACAGGTGAACAGAGGCATTAGCTGCTATGCTGAAGCTGTTTTCCCACCAAATTCTAGATGAAGGCAAAGTCCTAGGGGCAGGCATGGGGAGCGCAGAGCCCCAAGAGCCCCTCACTTGTATGGCTGACATTTATCTCTGTCCTGTTGCAATACGGTGATCACGGGGTAAAAGGTAATCTCACAGCAGAATTGCAAACTTCACTGGAAGAGATAAGAGATCACTCTGGCAGTACAGACATTAAACGTAGGAAATAATGTAGAAATGGAAAATATTATATTACCGGGGGCAAGCCCTGACGTAAGAGACAATGTGGGATGCATGTATTCAAAGAAGACCACACGGGCATGTAATATTTTCCTTTATGCCCAAGTGCTTTTTGTGTTTTGATTGAACACCCAGTACTGGCATGCTTTGATCATGCTCATCCAACATGGTTTATTAACACATACATGTGGTTGCATTTTCCATTAAAGAACAATTCTCCAAACAGCAACTGTGTACATACATTAGAATTAGACAGAAAGTGAGGCTAGAAGGTGTAGCAGTCTTGTCGTATGCAAACACTTTTTTTATAAAGAAAGTCTATGGTATTCAAAAGTGAGCAAGCAATAAATAAAAAGAATATCATTTATGTTTCCCCTGAAAATCATCCTGGGATCAGCAATGTGGAGAGAGTTATCAAGTGATAAAAACAGCACAGGCTTTGGAAACAGGCATACCTGGGTTAAAATTCTGCACCTGCCACTTATTGGCTGTGTGACTAAGGACAAATTACTTAACCTCTATGAGCTTCAGTTTCCTTGTTTATATAAGCAGTATAATTTACGGTTGTTCTGAGGATCAGTGGTAATTTATATAAAGCATGTAGCACAGTGCCTGACACATAGTACTTGGCAACATCAGTATGTAATGCACTATTATCATAATAAGAAAATAATGTTATTAATCCAAAATATGTAGAAAATGCATCACTACCACACTAAAAATATGAACAGCTTGGGTCCTACTGATGTGTAACTTAACATTCTTCAGAAATATTAATAGGTCAGTGGTCCTAGATGATGTATATGTTATTTAGATAGGACTGATAGTTTCCAAAGAAAAATAATGTGTAGGTAGTAACTAGGTTTGAACAAGGGAAATCGGGGGATGCAAAAAATTATATCTCATGTAGACTGGTTAATTCTCAACTGAAAAATCATAGCTCTGTGGACAGTAAAATGTTGTGGACATATGACTATTTAAATACTGGGCCACACTATTTTAACTATAGTTAGAAATGGTGCTTGCCCATGTTACAGTCTTCTCCTTGGTCTGCATTTGCTGGGAGTAAGGCCCATGGAGGGGTGTTCTCATGAATATATTCCTGGGTTTGGGGAAGATGTGGTGGTAAAGGTCACAGGATCTTTGTATGACTTTGTTCTCTCTTCCCTTACCTCAACAGAGGCCAAGTCACAGACCTCATCTGCAAGGAGCAGACATCTGCATTATCAGACACACAAGATACCTTGATCTTGCCTGTCAGGCATGCTGGGGGGCCATGTTAGTGAGGCAAAGACAGCAGACTCACAGAGAGATTTACTAGGAAAAATGAACAGAAATGACAACTGCAGTAATATGAAAATTTGTTTTAATAGCAAGGCCTAGAATAGGACTAAAAGCAAGAAAAATAAAAATACCACTGTAATTATTAAGAAAGTATACAAGTGTCTGTGTTTTGAAAGAATGGGACAGGGCAGAAGAAAGAAAGAAGAATGCTTATTAAAGAGCTTTTTACATTTTCTTTCATTCATTTTTAGCCTTTTAGCCATTTTTATATCAACATTTTGCACACTTAGAAAGTGATTGTTACAACTTTTAGTAATAGTTCAAAATCTTTTTTTAGAAGGTTTGAATATATCTACATTGAGTTAAATCTTGCAATATGGTAAACAGAATTACAAAAGCCTTCAGAGAAATAGTGTGTTTCTGTGTGTGCAGGAATGTATTTAATTATGTGGTATTTAATTAAATATATACAACATACATTTATATATGTAACTTTGAGAAGTGTTTTTAAATTTATCACTTCTTTTGATTCCTGTAACAACCCACTGAGATACATAGGTCAGGCATTATTATTCTCATTTTATAGATGGGAAAACTGAGAAACAGGAATGAAATGAACTGTCAAAGTCACACACACTGAATTCAGCTGCAGAGCCTCATTCTCCTATTCCAAGTCTAATATTTTGTTTCCATTTAACCATGATACTGCTTTTAAAAATGCTCTACAATGCCATGGGCTAAAAAGCATTCAGGTTCACTTTCAAAGTACTTGCTGGTTTTTGAAAGCATGTATCTTCCTAAATACAGAAACATTTTTGCACTTAAGAGTATGTGAAAATGACCCTCCTTAAAAAAAAAAAAAAAAAATTCAGTTTAATGTCCAGTATGAACTTTTATGGCTCATAAATGAGCATTGTGAAATTCCGATATGTCCGTTTAAAAGTGCTTGCATCAAATTTCACTATTCGGACAGCTGAATATAAACCTTAAAAGTTGACATTTATACTGGAAAGAATGACAGGGCACAAATCTTATAAATGGCAGTAATAGCAGTGATGGCAGGGACAGAAATCATTTTTCAAGTACCTGAGAAGTGACACTAGGGTGCAGCATTGTCCCTTTTCTCTGGCAAGGTAATGCATTCAGAGGAAATAAAAGATAATTTTGATGAAACAATGTCAGAAACCAAGACGCAAGAACTGTGCTTGAAAAGCACAAAGCATATAAAACTTTATGGCTTCTCTTCTGTTGGCAACCTCGTTTGCCAGGCCTTTGCCAAAAGTGAAACTGGCTTTCCCTCGGAAGCAAGTAAAACTTACTGTCAAATGTTCCTTGTGGTCCCTCTTACTGGCTTAAGGGGCATTAACAATGTTAGTAAGATTTCAGATGTCAGCGCTGGATGTGAACAGAACTCGCAGGTGGTGCAAGTGAGGGACAGCAGGTGATTGACTGCCTTTGATGCCTGGCAAGCTGGTTTCAGTAAAGATTGATTTTCCTTTTAATGGACGGTCACTGGTATGAGTGCTTTCACTGTTTCCTCTTCAAGATCACATGCACACAAAATATATTCAATGGTCACGGGGAAGAAGAGATGGGAATGCGTAACTATATGATAAAAGAACTTGATATCCAGAAGCAGGGGAGTGACATGAAGGCTTTGTGCTAAATTCAACCATTTTACAGAAGTGGTCAGTAGTACCAGCAGTAGCGGCAGTAATGGCAGCTGCCCTGGACCTGGGTAGGCCCCAGACAATAAAATTGGCATATGTTCTTCAGGCCTTAAAGCCACTGCGTTCTGACTTAGCGGTGGCACTGGCATGAACAGAAGTCTATTGGGACGGCTTCCAGTCACCAAGAGTCAGGTTCCAGTTTTATTTCAGCTGTTTTAAGCAGTCATGCTTGAGTATAAAGCATAGCGTTAAAGTATAATTCTGTTCTTTAGGGGCACTTTTTTGCAGCCTTATAGACTACAAATATGGAAACCACTGGGATTCCTATAAAATGTCAGAGAGCAATGATCAGGGTTATTTTTGGTCTAGAACTCCCACTTTCTTCCTATTAGACCCCAATTCTGATGGGGCTTTGCAAATGCCTGAATCCCAAAATGATGCCATCTTACATGCTTGGTGAGAAGAAAAGCTCCTGTTACATTCTAGAACCATGAAAGCATGCACAAACATGTAGACATGAGTGAAACTTTGCAAACCATCAGCTATGTAACAGACAACTGGAACCAAAGAATTTGAGCACAAGAAAGGATCTTAAAGAGAATTTAAGTCCAGAGATTCATTTCTCATATGAAGATGCGAGGGAGCAAAAAACGTTGAATAAATAATAATAATAATAACTGATATCTTTAAAGCACTTAATATGTGCCAGGCACTGTATAAGTCCTTTACAGGGTGTTATAAAGGACTAGCTCAAGGTTGCATAGTTATTTAGTCACAAACCTAGGACTGGAACCTAGGATTCTCATTTCTTATTTAGGTGCTCCACAGAAAAATGGGATTGTGTAGCAAACATCCTTTGCCCAGGAAAACAAAACAGTGCAAAAATCAACCTGGATGAGCAGGGATACTCAATGGCAACAGTTAACTCACTGGGCAGGGATGGATTACCAGGCCACCAAGCACGCTACCTTTCATGGTGAGTGCATCTGAAGTGACCACAAACAGACAACGCATCTGAAGTAAAGAACTGGAGCTCAGCCAAGCAAAGAAAGCGGGGCAGCAAAAAGACCCACACAAGCAACATACTGCTTTCAGGGCAGAGCAGTTAGGCCACATGTCATGACGGGCTCTGCATAAAACAACTCTTGTACCATGTCCCCACTCACCACACAAATAGTAACACTGTCTGCAGCAGCAGCTTGGGGTAAGAAAGATAAGAGATAAACATATTATACAAACATGAGAAGAAAGTCACAGTTAATGTTTTAATGCAATGGACACTGATGTAAAATCATAGTTATTACTTACTCCAGGATTTTTCCTAGCTGATCAACATCTGAACTTCCACGAAAAAGAGGCCTAGAAGAATAAAGATACATTTAAGCAAGGAACTTTCTTAGGTTAACAATTCAATCATATTTGTCATTATCTTTTTTTTTCCTAAATTTTATTTTGTTGTTGTTGTTGAGAATATACACAGCAAAACATACACTCGGATTCAAAGTTTCTACGTGTACAATTTAGTGACACTGATTATATTCTTTGAGTTGTGCAACCATTCTCACCCTCCTTTTCTGAGTTGTTCTTCCCTCATTAAATAAACTAACTGCCCCCTAAGGTTCTTACCTAATTTTTTGAGTTGTTGTTGTCAATTTGGTCCCATACAGATAGTTCTTCAAAGAGCATAATGCTCAAGGCAGACCTTTTCTACTAGTTAAACTACTGTTTGGTTTTAAGATGACTTCAGGGGATATATTTGATTTAAGGTTTAAAGATTATCTCAGGGCAATAGTTTCAGGGCTTCATTCACCCTCTGTATCTCCAGAAAGTCTAGAGTCCATGAGAATTTGAAATTCTGTTCTGCATTTTTCCCCTTTTGATCAGGATTCTTCTATGGAATCTTTGATCAAAATGTTCAGTAATGGCAGCCAGGCATCATCCAGTTCTGGTCTCACAGCAAAGGAGGTGGTTGTTCATGGCAGCAATTAGCCACACATTCCATATCCATATCCTTGTTCTATTCCTGACTCTCCTTCTTCTGTTATTCCAGGAAAATAGAGACCAGTTGCTGGGCCTCGAATGACTGCTTGCAAGCTTTCAAGCCCCCCAGGCACTACGCAATGAACTAGGAGGTAGAAGAGAAGTGCTGAATACGTTATTAGGCCAATTAACTGGGATGTGTCATGAAACCATGACCCTAAACTTCCAAACCAAGGAACCAAATCCGGTGAGGTATTTGGTTGTACGTTAGTCATTATCATCTTCAAAATATTCTTTATGTGTAGGGAAGAAGTAAAGAATTCAGACATCTTTTCTTTGGTAAATAAAGGATTTTCTTGCATTTTACTTATGGTAAGGATCTCTCAGGAACATCTGGAGGCCCCCAAATCCCATGTTTTACAACCATGGGTAATCACACAATCACTATAACAGCAGTGCTCCGATGCACCTTACGTGCAGCCACCACCTGTCTGTCAGTGGAGGCTTGCACGTTGCTATGATGCTGAACAGGTTTCAGTGGAGCTTCCAGACTAAGACTAGGAAGAAAGGCCTGGAACTCTACTTTCAAAAATTAGCCTATAAAAACCCTATAGATCACAATGGTTTGATCTGCAACTGATCATGAGGATGACGCAGGACCAGGCAGCATTTCATTCTGTTGTGCATGGGGTAGCCATGGGGGGAGGGGAGAAAAGGGGCTTGACAGCAACTAACACCACTACCGCCATCATATGCCTGGTCCAAGTTTAAAGATGCTACTAAATTCTGTGATATGGTGAAACACATCACTGTCCTAGTTTTAAACCACGGGCGTGTGAGATTCTTTGAAACTGTTCCTGCTCAGATGGTTCTCAGGTCCTCAGAGCACCCATTCCTCACCACTCTGCTATCACAGTACTTCCTCATGGGTCTCTTGCCTTTAGTGTGTCTGAATGCCGCAGCGAGCCATCTATTTTTCTGATTACACCCACTCCTCACTTATAGATATGGTTAGGCTCCGAAGACCAGGTTGTTATGCGAAAATCAGCGTTATACGAAAATGGGGGATGACCACATCAGATCACAAAATGGAGGATGACTACATCATTATATGTAACTGCCAAACCACCGAGAATCATAGCCCAGCCAAGCTGACACATAACCTTAACCATCACAGCCAGTGTTATTCTTGCCTTGCACCTTGGTGTTCGTTACTGCCAAACGTATGTTGTTAATGCACAAAATAGTCAGACAGTAGATTTTTAACTATTGTCGTAAATGTGAAATGTCGGATGACAGGATAGTCGATAAGTGAGGAGTAGGTGTATATCACTTTCCTTTCTCCCAACTTTATGGTAGTTTACCATTACAAGTTCAAAATCTGAGTCTTGGACTTCAGAGGCAATTGTGTTCTCTTCTAAAGACAGAGTCTTACAGTCTACTCTGAACACTTAACTGGCAATTACCTGAGCTTGCTCTGTGACATTTCTGGCATTTTCCCAAGTAGATCAATGCCCCTAGACTCCTTTCTGTTCTTCCCTTAATGCTTGGTCTAGTGCTTTACCTTAACAGGTGCTCAATAAATAAATCTGACTTTGTATATATCTGTCGTACAAATGTAAATGTTTTCTAACTCCTTGTTCAATAACTGACATAAACAGGTATTTTCCAATATCTAATGTGTTTTAAAAAAAATTTGTAGCCTATTATCAGAGATCATATTTTTTTATATTATATATCAATTTACAGATAAACATTTTCTATGTATACTGAATAAACTTGCTATAAGATCACTTACGAAAAATCATCGCATTTCATTAGCTATAAGACATTTTAAAATTCTTTAACCATAGTTTCTATTTAGGTGATTATTCCTGAAAATAACTATTTTCAAGTGTAATAGAAAACAATTTGTGGCAACTCACAGAATGTCACTAATGCAGACAAATTCATAAAGAATCATGGAGTTGGGCTCAAAAGCTATCCAGATAGGTCTTAAAAGATAGCAAAGTAAAAAGTGAAAATTTTAGAGAAACCAGAAAATGGAAACCTAACAGCAACATTTATCAAGAGCTAACTTTGTATCTAGCATGGTGCCAAGTGTGCCCTAAACATTTTCTCATTTAATCCTCACAAAATTTCCATGATAAAAATTCCTACTTTCAGATGAGGAAACTGATTATTGGAGATGTTACATGACTTACCTAAGGACATATAACAAATTGCAGAATTAAAATTCAAACCAAGTTTGCCCCTCAAACTTCTGCAATTTGAGTACAGAATCCCCCAGGCACTTCTTTGTGAGACGCCCACGTCCTCTGCTAAATGCTCTTCACCATTTTATGCTATTTTACCCCAGAGACTGAGTTATAGAGACTGTATGATTGCAGAGGACATTAATAACCTAAATAAAATTATTACAATGTAATAATGAAGTTTGCCTGTATGCTTCATTATTACATTCTAATAAATTTATTCTGTACTCAAATTGCTTTGCCAAGTGCCTTTAAATTCTTGCTCTACTTTAACAAGGGACAAAGCAACTCACCAGATTGACTGGTGGTCTCTATTCTCTCTGTAAACTTACCAATGGCTCTTCTAGATTTTTGAATTCTATGCCTAGCCCAATCTTTTATAGCTGTTTTGCCCATACCTTAATCAATACACAGTTTTTATTCTTCCTAAAGCATTCAACTTAGGTTTCATAGAAACAACAGGTCTCTTTCTTTTCACATTCTTACTTCATCTGTTTCCACATTGTTAAGTTAAATTATGAAATTACAAAACTAAGTATAACTAGCATTAACGAGGGTTGGGAATAAACACAATTGACCGCTCCTTGTTAGGCAGCATAGATCTCAATCGGCTGGAGTGGTGGGTGTGCCAGGGCGTCAGTCAGTAAGTTTACAGGGTGAACAGAGAGTGGCAGTTAATTTGATAAATTGGTTAAATGACTAGATAACATGCCAAGCCCCTTCACCTTTCTTAAAGAATACTGGTGTCCCACAGAGGCAGGGGCGAAATTACTTTTTTGAGTATCATAGAGCAGCACCAGGAAGTAAACAAAGTAGACTAACCTGAATGGATGTTTCTCCTGGCAAAGGCGTAAGACTATCTCTTGTTCCCGGTGGACACTGAAATCCATGCCTGAAGCTCAGCTGTAGCAGTGGCTCATGCCCTTACTGTTTCACTTTCTAGCTCGCTTTTCATTTCTGGAGCCCTGGTGGCCCAGTGGTTAAGAACTCGGCTGCTAACCAAAAGGTTGGCAGTTTGAATCCACTAGCTGCTCCTTGGGAACCCTATAGCGCAGTTTTAGTCTGTTTTATGGGGTCGCTGTGAGTTGGAATCAACTCGATGACAACAGGTTTGGTTTTTCCTTTCTAGCCCCCGGCAATATCCTTAACTTTCTTGATAGCTCCACTATGCATTTAAATGAATGCTTATTTTATTTTATTTAATATTAGGTGGGTATTGGAGCAGAGGACTTTCAGGTCATCTATTCTACCATACTGCCAGAACCAGAAGTATCATCTCTACCTATTGGCTGGAGTTGGCCCACAAAATGAAATGTGCTTGCCACCCTTGAGTTAAAACTGGCCCATCAGTTTGACCTCCTTTAATAAGGACTGCAGCAAGCAGAGGCTCTGCATTATATTCATTATCCTGTGAATATTCAGCAAAACTTGCTATGGGGAGTACTACAAACTCTGAGGCGGCAACTGATGTACAGGTCAGAATGACTTTCATCCCGTTAGGAAGAACTGGTGTGCTACTCCGTGTTCCATTAATGCGCAGCACATTTGGGTTTGCTTAAGTTACAGAGAGCCTCTGAGCCCTGAATGCATGCAATTAACTTCTATAAAATGGATCTTTGGACACAAATACACAGTTACAAGACAATGGAAATGCGTCACATGAAGGAGAGGAATGGGTCTAATTTGAATTGATAGTCTCAGCTGACCAACAGGTAGGTGATGAAGGCGAACAAACTTTTCAAACAATCTACTCAATTTTCTGCTGAAAATTATGAATAGTATGTATGAGCTGGTTTTTATGATTGAGGATACTATGCCCATCTGGGGCACAGAAAGGTACAATGGATGCAGAGGAAAAATGAAATTTTTCACCATGATGAAATCTTGGGTGTGCTATCGATGGGTGGATGCTGTACTGAGATGTAAGAATAAGACCACCACAGAACCCTTATATGATATAATCTGTAATTAAATAAGGCTCTGTGGTAAACAATGTGTGCTCTATCAGGTCTGTGACCTATATGTGCCATGTACTGAGGAAATACAGAGTATTTTCATTGAGGTTATTATGAATAATTATTCCCTCTTCAGATTAGCTGTGTTAAATATCCTTAAATCCATATA